CATCTCAAAGAACAGTCTTCCAGATTTGAGCGCCACACTATGCTTCCTCCGTCGGGTATAAATATCGGCGTGGGCGTGTATTTGGTGGTCAACTGAGGCCAGAGAAAGTCGACGAGAGGTGTGATCATTGGAATGAGGATGTATTAGGTCGTACTTGTAGAATTGATGAGGCTTAGGTATGATTCGGACTCTTTGGGAGTGAAAATTTGACGTGGTGGAGTAGTTTGAATCATTGCCTCGTGGGCCAACTTCTTTGATATTGCGAAATTTGACTGAACTTGGCTCTGGGAGAATATTTCACTCCCAGGATCGTAGAGGACACCGCGTATAGTTATTCAGTCTTGCCCTCCGATCTACCATACTACATAGCTGAGCATAACACAAAGGCTTTGTATTAGACCCAAGTTAGTGAGGATATCTACGAAAAGGCTTCTTTGTCAACTGGTTTTCAGAAAAATTGATGTCCAATCTGAATATTATGTGAGCCATGCAGGGTCAACTTAACTTGGGTCTACAACGTCACTAATGAAGAAGTCAGGTAAGTTATGACAACACACCAAAACAAAGCCTCTAGAGTAGACTCAAACAATTTGCAGCTTTTTAGAGCAGCAAACTAGAAGAAAACAGAAGGGGGCGGGAAAACTCGCGGCATACCAAGAATAGGCGAAATCCATGTCAACTCAAAGGGTGAACTATTAGCCTCGACGACATGCTATCGCCAACTCCTGAACCTGGAAAGCAGCCAACTTGAATTAAGGCCGTCATTTGGAACGGTGGGAAATAAAACTCTTAATCTGCCATTTTCTCTTCAATGGAGACTAAGAAGAGCCCCATTCATCCCACTAGTGTAAATACGAAGCAAGTTAATGGGGCTCAACTTGTACTTAAATCGAGGAAAAATAACAGGATAAAAAAACCCAAGCTGTTCATGTGGCCACCAAGCATAGACCCCCAATCACATAACTATGTCCTGCCCTCAATGCTCAAATGGTAGAGAAGTGGTTTGAGGATAGCCAAGGATCGGTGCATCGAAGTAATAACTTATAATTCCGGCAATGTGAAAAGGATTATACAGTGGATATTTAACTAGAAATCGAATATCAATTTTGCCAGAAAGCTGCGCAACACTTCACGCTGCTCTTATCATCAATTTGACATCGTGAATCCCATTTTTATATTTTTTTACCTATCACACATCATTTTACTTTCCATGCTCCGATATAGCGAGTGTGGGTGCTGGTGTGGGTATATCCAGCGTTTTCGACATAGCGCAAAAAGCGACAATGTAGACCACAACAACGGCAGTGGAGCACAGACAGCTCCAAAGGGTAAGACCCCTGAAATCACAGGGAAGCTATTAAAACAAGTTAGAATAATAGTTATGAGGGAGATGGATGAGGAGGACTTACAGTCGATAGAGGATGTGAACGGGGCCATGAAGGCTTTAAATGCGCACAAAAGAGCCATGACTGAAATTCCCCAGAGGAAGTCTCCAATCGAGGAGAGGATGATGGAACCAGAGGAGGTTGTTAAGGAGAGCTCCGCGGATCCCGTTCGTAATGCTGCGCCAGAATTAGCAACGGGAATGCCGCAAACAATGATCTACGCGTCTGTAGTAGCTCCGAAAATTACTAAAACAGCGGTACGTATCAGAATCGATGAGGCGGATAAATTACAGCCTGAAGAGCTGCTATCAAAGGTAAAAGAACATATCCAAAGCCCATACGCAATTCGAAAAATGTGCAGCAAAGAAACTGAGGTGTTTGTACAGTCGGCGTCGTAGAGAGACGCGGCGCTCAAAATGCGTCAACCCTACGATTTTAAAAATTTGCGGCAAGACTTTCCAGTCGAGGTTTTCGGAGTCCTACTGTGGACAAGAATTGAAGGTGGCAGATATGCCAGCAACCACGTCATCATCAGGGAGATTAAGTCGGCGACTGGGATATGGATTCTAGGCCTAGCGATAGATCGTAATAGGTTGCTACATAACGGAAAAGAACACGCGCGGTCAAAGAAAAATAGCCGCAACAGAGTATCTTCGTAGTAAGCCTCCCATCGGGGGCAATTCAAACAGGAGTGGTACGAAATGGCCTTGTCATAAATGCTGTGCTCTTCACCGCGTAGGTGTGGTTGCCACGAGTTCAGTTAAAGCAGTGCTTCAATTGTAGTCAGTGAGGACACTTGTAGGCATCGTGTAGAAAGACAGCCAGGTACGGTGAGTGTGCTACTGCTCGCCAAACTCAGGACTGTCCTAGGAAAAAAGTTGCGCGAACTGCGGTAGGCAATACTGTTCGTGGCAAAAAGTAACGTATCGGACTAACAGGTCTACAAAGGAAGTTTGACGAAGGCTCGGACGGAGCCTCTATTAGGAACGGCGAATAAAAGGAACGAAGTACCCACAATGGCGCCAATGCAAACAGTCGGAACGACTGACGATTAAAGATTCAGCTTGGTCACCAGTAAGAAGACTAAAGGTCTCAGAAGAGGGTCGAGATGACCGTGAAAGGTAGTCGAAGTCTCAGCGGTACCAATTATCACCGCGAGAGCAGTACCAGTATCGGGGCCTACCCATCGAACATTTTGAAGACCAGCGGCGGGTGAGGAGGTGCCTTTGTTATTCAAATCTTCCTAGTATTAATCTGATCGAAGGGGTAGTTCACGAGTTCAGGGTAAAGTTTATAAATTTGCGGTCCAAAGGAACGTCCTTAGCACTAAGCCTGGTCGGCTCAGAGTGGCGGGAGAGTGGGGTTTGTTTATTTGAAGCTTTTACCTAACCAAGCCGGCTTACCGTCTTCGAGGTCCTATAATTTAGATATTGTATAGGATGTTAAAAAAGAACAAATTAAATTCAATGTCACTATGTGAAAACGACGAAAAAGTAACACAATGATCTACAAACAGCTCTCTCATCTCTCCCAGACCTCATCAACGGATCAACATTCGCTCTCAAGTGCATCTGATAATATCATCCTTTGGCTCATAACTATAATGTATAGAAAAATTGCAGATGATGAAGGCAGTCGAAATGCTACTAAGAGATATAGCCAGGGCAAGCAATTCTAGGGGTTAATGGAGAGGGTATGATTGCGTTGTGCTGGTCATAGCAAATATTACGATGTACAAGGGCAATGATCACTGAGAGTGAAGGAAGAACTTTCCGGCGAATTCCATGACGAGTAGACGAACAACGGAGTGCTGTACGGAAAGCATTTCTTGAATATTCCGTGACACTGTTTTGGCAAAATAAAGCGAGATTCAAGCTACCTCGGATATCTACGCAAGAAGCGGTTTCTACCCTCCAAGCCCACATAGTTTTGTGTACCTAAGATATCAGCAGTTCAAATTGATTTATCATTAATTATCTCTAAACTTTCAGCCGATTAATCCTCCGTAAGCTTTTGCCCTTACAATAGATTGTGTCGAGCTCGAGGGTGCCAAAGGTAGCCTTTCGGAGGATTACTGGGAAGTGTGGGTTATAATTGGCAAGATCGGCTAGAAGAAGAGGTATGAGTTCGTAGTTTTACTTGTAAATAAGGTCAAAGAATACTACGATAGGAGACACGGTCTATGGAAGACGGAGGACAAGTCGCGGCCCTCTAAAATGACCCTGTCTAATATGTACATCACAGTAACCAGAGCAATTTGGACCTCAAATGGTACGACTTCTACTATTCTATTGGTGGACTACTCTGAATAGCTATCAGTAGTGTCTCATATGAACCTCCAGCTCTCACTGTAGAGTCTGCAGAGCCGAGATTGAGTAACAAAGCCCTCACTTCGACGAGGATTCCCAATCGCTTTCGCCATCTGTATCGTCTTCATATCTCTACACATACCCCTCTCCCCACTATCATGAAGCTAACCACGATCAGATCCAATGGTAGGGCTTGAGCCCTACTCATCACCAACCCTTCATCACGGAGGTGAAGCCATCCGATGAGTTTCCGGAGCGTACCCAGCACCCGATACGGAGTTGGTGGATTGGATCAAGTCGACCTCAACTGTTACAAAGAAGGGAGATATAGATGAATATGCGCACCTCATGTGGTCCCGGTGTCTAGGCCTCGCCTGGCTAGGGCTGTATAATTTTTGAGACTTTTTCCCGCGCACGCAGTTTCCATTGCTACCATTTTATTTTTTTGGGTAAAGGGTTCCTTGTAGTAGATGGCTGAACTTTCACGGGTAAATACTGAGCTGAATGGCTGTTCATTACGGGAAATATATCAATTATCTTTGAGATAACAAAAGAGGATAGGAGCACTGTAATAGGTACAGCATGGGTCAGAGAGAAGTTCAACGTACTAAATGGGCACTGACTTAAGTGGCATAAAAAACTTCAAACTCAATAAAGACCATCTGCTGGGGTGTGTCAGGTGGGAAGTCTGGACAAACCAATAGGCGGTGAAATTTTTTTATAACCGAACTTAATACTAAATCGGATGGAATAGTTACTTCTCTGAAGGTTTCATGGAAGTATCCCAACCGGACGCAGTCACCTTGGCTATACTCAAGGACCCCGGTCTCCAATACCCTGACCCACAGCCGAATGATTTCTTTGACTACGCCGCAAAAAGAATCAGTCGCCTTGGTGAGATTCTAGAAAAAATTTGTCAGTGTACTCGTGCTTTTAGCTAGCCGAGCTAAATTTAATTGTGCCACCATCGGCGACGGGGAATGCCGTAGAATAGTCGACAAACAATGTTCACCTGGCTCGTGCGTGATGCAATATTGGCACTGCAGATTCTGAGGTAAGAGCAAGAAGCTAGTGTAAGTCAGCATTCATAGATGACAAGCATTTGCTCCCTAAAATTTACCAATGAGTGGGGTTAATTTATTAGTGGCGACAGCAGCATCTGATAGACAAATCTACACCAAGTCAATGTGATGGCGTGGGGCAAAAAAGTCAATTCACGTGACATCAAAGTATGAATAAGCCACACTAGTTAGGTTGTGTATACCTCCTTAGATGGAAGCTGAAGTAGACAACTTATCCCGCAAGTATGGATCCATATAGCTCTATGGATGATGCTACGGCGGCTTTAATCATCCAACTACAAATACAAGAAACACAAGAATTACTTGACGCAGAAGACGACAAGGGGAAAGGACGAGAAAACGACAAAAGCGACGTCAAGATAGCTTTACAATCTTACTTACAAGACTTGGAAGCTAACCATGCCTTGGTAACTGATCGTGTTTTGACAAAAAGAATCGGAGAAGGCCTTGAAATAGATGGAGACGAAGCCACAGCAGACCCATATGCTGAGACATTAGCAAATGACGACGGAGAATGTCACTCGGAGAATGGCGAATTTCAGCCAAGCAACCCCTTTGTGGCAGGTGCACACCCGAGCTCGCTGGACTCCAGTGGCCTGAACAACTACGAATTTTCCTTTAACTATCCCAGACTAGATAGTAGCTCAAAGACAGGGGCTTGTTCGAGTACTTCAAAATCCAGAGCGGAATCATCCCGGCGTATCATCCCCTTAAAATCGAGCGAAGTACCGCGCAACAATTGTACTGCCTGTCAAAACCTACTCCCATCAAATATATTGGTTCGTTGTCCTTGCAGTCATGACTATTGTGAGGATTGTCTATCGGATCTATTTCGGGCATCCATAACTGATGAAAGTCTATTTCCGCCTCGATGCTGTAAGCAGCCGATCGTTCTAAACAGTAGAGTTTCCGAAATCCTGTCATCAGAACTCGTTGACCGTTTTGAGGAAAAGAAAATTGAAATAGAGACCCCAGATCGTACCTACTGCTCAAACCAGTTATGTTCAGCTTTCATTCGAATGGAATTTATTGCCGAAGAGAAAGCTGAGTGTAAAAAGTGCGGAACGACAACATGTATTATATGCAAGGGTGCATCTCACATTGGGGATTGTCCCTCTGATAAGTCTCTTAACCTCCTACTTGAGCTTGCTGAGGAGAGGGGTTGGCAACGCTGCTACAATTGCCGGCGTGTTGTTGAGCTAGAGATTGGCTGCAATCATATGACGTTAGTCACTCGCATCCCGTACATTCGACGAGTCAGAACTAATATTTTATTAGGTGCCCTTGTGGCTCGGAATTCTGCTACGTATGCGCTGAGCGGTGGAAGACCTGTGGATGTGAACAATGGGACGAAGAAAGACTTCTTGCCCGCACAAATGCTATTGTGGCTCGTCAACCTGTCGCTTTTGAAGATGATTTATTTGTTCTTGATCACGCGGCAGACGTAATGCAGAATCTCCGTCTTCGGCACGACTGTGACCATGAACAGTGGCGCTGGGTCAGAGGTCACCACCGTTGTGAACTCTGTTATCACACACTACCTTCCTACATTTTCGAGTGCCGTGAGTGTGCCATACAAATTTGCAACCGATGTCGTCGGAACAGGATTTGATAATGGGATGAAGGTAAATATTTCTTTTTGGTATGACTTACGACAACCTGAAAAGGATAGATATCGACCTCTATGGAATAACTTACGTTTAATGACCTTCCAATTGTACATAAATTTATCAGGTTTTCTATGAATGTGACTTTATTTTCGAGGGACTTGGCACAAGTTCAGAGTCCAGATATTGACTTGGATAAAACCCTACTTTGTGAAATAGAATCTAACCGCTAACTTGAGTAGGTATAACTACTTCCTACGTCTGTGTTATCGGAGATAGACTAGAACCAAGTAATTCAAGAATGGGAAACCCATTTATCCAGATGCAAGTCAAGTTTTGTTAGCATGAGCGCAATGGCCTGTTTGAGAAGGGACCGTCAAAGTGTTTTTGATCAGATGGGTCTCACCCAACTCGCAATTTTAGGCAGCTGACGGAAAATCGTTTAAGAAAAGAATATTTTATTATTAATTTCACACGTTATTCTACGTTGTAAGATATTCATGGATATTAACAGGACAAATCTCGGCCGGCCGAAATGATCACTCGCGCCTGCGTGGATAGCACGACTTCCCAGGACCAATCATGTTCTTTAGGCCTGAGGAAACCTTTGGTTGGATGGGAGCCCTGTGCTCAGAACCCATTTAAAATTGACTGGGCCGTCATAGAATCCCCTTTGATAGTAAGCAGACATTTCGATCTAGTAAAACGCATATTGCGACGGCTTACCCATGCCAACGTAGTCGATGGAAATGAGAGTAGGACTTCGGCCCCACTCATTGCGACACACATTAGACTGCGCGCCGATACTGCCCTTTCCCGTTGGAGCATTGGTTCGGGGTGCGGCTCCCCGGTTAGGAACTAGGGCTCCCCGTACATCAATACTCAAGTAATGATTTACCAGCTGCACTTTGCCTTAGCAAAATTGGAAGTCAGCTGTAAGGAATGCTCTATATTACTCACCATCATTAATCCATTTCCGTCAGATCCCGAGGGTTGATCAAGTGCACAGGATGAAAAATTTGAATCTACAACATCCGACTTGGTCTCAAAGAAATAGCTGTATTCATCCAATATTTGCGGAGCCTCGGTAGCATTGGCACCATGGTCTTCAGATTTATTAGCTCAGAAATAAGGGTAGAATGGTGAAATTTGTTTACCCATGAAGACAATAAGACGAGTGTCGCTTTTGATTAGCTCTTCTAGTGTCGGCCATTCATCGACGGCAAGTCTCTTTGGAGGAATAAACGCATGCTCAGCGAGGCCTGAGGCTGCAAGGTCTTTCCTGAACATTTCGGCGGGCGCACGGTTCATGTTTCCCAAGAAAAGTGTTATGATTTCGTTGAAATTTTCTTCCATAAACTCCTTGATGTCATCTAATAATCCCATGAGTTTACCGGCATCTTCCAGCTTGCATGAAGATTGGCACATATGAAGTCTATCATCTTTAACGTGGACTGGAACCTGCAAGAAACGAGTGCCATGATTTAACTGCTCCTTAACCGATAGCAGCTGAGTGTGTCTAGGTTGGTGACCAGAGAAGGCCGGATTGTGTGAGCCGATTTGGGTTACATTGCTATATTTCCTTGAGCACAGCTCCGCATATCCATTACAAGATCGAGATGTGACAAACGATCCTAATAGAACAGCACTAAAGAAGAGTTCGAATAACATTTAGAAGGTTGTGAGGAAATTAATATTATACTAAAAATTTGTAAAGGAGCTGAGTAGTAAGATGAGAATTGAAGATTGAGTTGATGCTTGCGTTTTCTATCATGTTGCTATCGACGTTGTCATATATATCCCATTATTCCGCCACTAAGTCTTCTCATTCAGAGTTATCGCTCTAAACATGCCTTGATTCTTTTATCCTCGTCCGGTTTGCGCTGGGGGCTTTAGAGACATTCCAGGGTGCAACTGAACCTTCTAGTGCAGTGTGTATTTGATTCTTCAGAGTTTCTAGTAGCCTTCCTTAGATAGAATCAACAATTACACGGTTCTAGTTGTCTAACCCTGAAATAAAAATCTTGGTGGCGAATGCTTCGACCGGTTGTGAATGTGCCAGGACGGTGGATAGTTGAGAATTATGGGGGTCGGATGCCACAAGTTCTAGAACATAATTTGGGTCACTCATTTCCTGTACTTGGTCACTGAAAACGAGTGGCGATGAAAGAGTTGTCCAGGTACGGTCTTGCCACAATCTAGCCTGCTGCACGATGAAATTAGTTGCGAGGAGCAATGAATTCAAGCTTTGATGTTCGTGGAGCTAAGAATGGCGGAAATTGATTGGAGGGACATGAGTGTTAAGACATTGGTTTTTAACGGAGAAATTGAACACTCCTCATGGTGCGTTTCTTCTTTGAAATCTTAACCCATAAGTGTTGACCATGATTGAAGTATACTCCTTTCTGAAGTTGCGATTCGGTTAATACCATCACGATGTTAAGGAACCGCTTATGTAACCGAGTCGGAAGATTTAATGTGATCTCATTTACCCCGTTCAGATAGCCCATGGGTCCATGCGGGGGTCTACGAACTCTAAAAATTAGATGAGAATCCATGCTGGTAGTGCTCAAGGGCTCAGACGTGTGGGGCCTAGACTGAGGAGGATATTGCGCTACAACATATTCACAACGGGTTTCAGGAGGACGAAGGCTGAACACCTGTCAGTAGTATTCACTACGAACCTGTAAGTGAAATATTATCCCAGAGCTGAGATTCAGTCACAACAAAGGGTGAATTTGAGAGTTTTCGTCGAGTCGGCGATCGGGAGGGGTGGTGTTGGCTCATTTTTGGTCGTAATTCCGACTTGCATAAATTTTATGACCTCACAACTCAACGAAATCAACTATCTACACCCCTGATACTAACCACAGATAGGCTCTAACCTGTCTGATGTTCGTATTACAACAACTGACACCTTCAATATCTTATTTTCTATTTCTCTGGAAATTCATTCTCAGCCAAACTCATCTCTCGGCCCTCTCCAAAATCATCTCACCATCTACCCAAGCAATCCCATACCTCCAAAAGGTCAAATCTTCAACAAAGAAGCAAGAGTAAGTCTGACCCTCCGCAACTGCCAGTCGCTGTGAAGGTACGGTCGAAATACCGGCCTTAAATGCGTCCTCACCTCGGCCAAGGGCACCAACAACTCGACCTACGACGAATCGCCACCGAAGAAATCCGTACGACATTTCGCCGGCACATCAACAGAGCGTTCGAAAAATGCTGGGGCATTGGTGCTTCGGTCTTGAGCTCTCAGTCGCGTTTTCGACCTCCACGGTTAGGGGTACAGCAGCGACAGGGCGAGGCCGGAGGGGTGGACATTCTACAAAGTTTCTGAGATGACGAGATCGGCTGAAGGATAGAGGGATGCTGCATGAAGGAACCAAAAAGGAATACAAACTGAGGAAGCCTTGGTGGGCAACTGGATGAAGCCTCCAGTGAAGAAGACGACCCCTGGATGAGATGAGCCAAAGCTGGGATTGAATGGAAGGGAAAAGTTACAGATTGCGAAGGTGTCAAGGGCTCGAGCGCGTGGTGACCGAGGCTGAGGAGAAATTTGCACTTCGGCGCGTCAAAAGATGGTTCTCTGGAGGGATGGGCTTCACATGATTCAAAACATAGGTGAAGTCTGAAGTGGCCCGGTCATTCAGGTGGGACGAGGTAGATGTACTTAATGGTATTTAACCTGATCCAGCCCGGCCCCTCTCGTGCTCAAGCTCCAATAGGGGTGTGGAGTGGGCAAATTGCCCAGCACGTTAATACACAAAAAAACAAAAAACATTGTAGTAGTACTTTTCACAACCTCTCGAAATCATATAGGACGAGACGAATTCTTCACCCTGCAACGGCGACGGTTACACGCTTAGTAAGCTCTTCATATCTGAGATAGCCACAAAGAATCACAACCGAATCGAAATCGAAATCGAAATCGAAAGTAAAACAAACAAATCTATAATGGACGACTTGCCATCAGAGTTAGTCTTGCCATTCTTACGCGAGTCCTTTAACTCAATCTTACCACATACTACCTCGCCTCAACAACCGATCAAGTAGCTACTCCGACTGCAGGTGGGAACTTGCCTCATTTATTACCGGTCACCACACACAATCAAACCTACGACACTATGTATATCCGCAAAGAGGAAATAAGCCATAATCTATAACGTTTGGGGTTCGGCTTTTGAGGGACTGCTGATCTAAATTGGCTCTACCTCTCGAGGGAAGACAGACGGATGGGAAGTGTATTGAACAAGGGGAGAGGTCACTAATGGGCACACTATGACACATTTTCTCGAGTGTTTACTACTTAGGGGTACTCGTGGGTGCCGGGGCTACGATTCGGATAGTGGTACCGACACTTTAAATACAGGCTACGACGTGAAGTTTTGCGGTCTGCCTCCTGTTCGTCATCTTTTGGATCCTGAAAAGATCTACATAGTCACGGGTTGATCGGATTTTGGATTTACGGCACATAGAGAGAGAGGTATGTTTATTGTACTACTTAAGTCATAGACTATCTAGCACATTGGGCTCCTCTCTGACCCAGGCCACTCCTTGTACTGTGCTCCTTGCCTCTCATCTTTCTTGAAAGATCATTGATATATTGTCCTTCATGAATAGTCATTCAGCTCAGTATATAGCCGCAAAATTCGACCACCTTTTCCACGGAACCTTCTACCCAAAAAAATATATATATAAAAATGATAGCAATGGAAACTGAACGCGCGGGAAAATTTCTCAAAGGACCTGCAGCCTTAGCCAGGCGAGGCCTAGACACCGGGACCACATGAGGTGCGCATATTCATCTACATCTCCCTTCTTTGTAAAATCCGAGGCCGACTTGATCCAATCCACTATCGCTGTATCAGGTGCTGGGTCCGCTCCGGAAACTCATCGGATGGCTTTTCCTCCGTGATCAAGGGTGAATGATGAGTAGGGCTCCGACCCTGACATCTGATCTGATCGTGGTTAGCTTTATGATAATGGTGATAGGGGAATGAGTTGATAGATGAAGACGATACAGACCGCGAAAGCGATTGGGAACCCCCATGGAAGTGAAGACTTTGTTACTCAATCTCGGCTCTACAGACTCTACAGTGAGAGCTGGAGGCTCGTAGGGGATACCACTGACAGGTGTTGAGAATAGCCCCCACCACTCGAGATTAACCCTCAAGACTTACAACTTCTTCCGTGCAAATCTACCACGGGGGAGAGCGTGAAATACTAATGGTTACCCCAAGATACTCTCATCGTCTCACGAACACAAAGTCACCGCGAGAGAAAGAGTGGTGTGTAAGCTTTACTGAATTTGAACCATCTTTCTCTTGTATCCAATGGGGAACGTGTTCAAGCTACCCAGAATCTACGCGGAAGAACGGCCCGAATGGTGTACCACTGTACCATCCAATCCGATCTGCGTTACTAATTACCATTCCCTACGTATACAGCAAGTAGAAGGATCTCTTCTTTCTCTAAATTTCGTTGATTAACTGATTTTATTCTGGACTTGCTCTGCTATCTACTGAAATTAATTGAACCGGCGACAAGGATCGCCAGTACGCCTGTAAAGATGGACACTCCGCGCGTCCCAATGATAATCGATGCTGACGATGTCTCGTATAAGATCTCTCAAGTGACTGGCGCGCGCTTTTCAACAGGGACTCCGCCCGGTCGACAAATCGAACAGTGTAAACGCTATCTAGGCTTTCCATGCCACTCGTGGGTGTTCACGCGCTCGAGCCTGTTGAGCTGGAGGTCAAATATGCACTCGACTTTCGAGTGCAAGCCTCTAACACGATGTCGCAACTACGGGGGACCAATGAGCAAAGAGCTGCTCGTGTGGACTCGCCAGATCAAGCAAGAGAGGTTTTTAGTGGTACGACGAGCTAGAGATGCATCCAAAAGGGCCGAGGAGGCAATTATCGCCTCAAAAGTATGTCTCCGTGGCAGAGGGATCGGGCTTCAGAGTTGTGGAGTCCGAAGAATTTTGAGGACACAATGACCTCGACGATGTCTTTTTAGGCATTTACTAATCTATATCAGGATACCAGCTTAATGAAGGGTATCTACTAACCTATCTCTTGCCCTCAGTAGATATTAAATAAATAGTCATTTGGGAGATACAACATGCCAGAGAATGTGTGTTGGAAATTCTGACTCTCGAATTTAGGACTCAACCACTAACTGTTTCGTCTCAGGTTCCCGACAAGATCGACTCTCTCTACACATGTCCTGAGTGCGCTAATCGCGCCTACTGTCGCATATATATTTGGATGCTTACGTACCACAGTGTACCTTAGCTCATCATGGTAGATGAGAGGTGGCTCCTCATCACTAGGTTTGATAGGCACATGAGACTAGTGAGAATTTCTCCCGTAGATATATATATAAGTCCAATGTTCCCATAGTTGTAAAATATTAAGTCTTCATTACTTCATCACATATATCCATATAATATCGTACAGAGTATATTTTCCAACAATGTGTGATGAGCGCATTACTTGGGTCCAACATGGAGGAATATTTTTCGGAGTTGTTTTGATTTCCATGTCTTTGATTTCTATTTCAATCTGCTGCAACTTTGGAAAGAGAGGGCAAAGACTGAACACCTGTACGCGGTGTTCTCTACGAGCCTGGGAGTGAAATATTCTCCCAGTGCCAAGTTCAGTCAAATTTTGCAATATCAAAGAAGTTGGCCCACGAGGCAACGATTCAAAATACTCCACCACGTCAAATTTTCACTCTCAACGAGTTTGACTCTTGTCGAACCTTTTGAGCTGGTTCGGAAGCTGTAATGATTGAGACTAGAGGTATCTGGAAGAATAGCTCGCACAGGAGCTTTCAATTGAATTAAATAAAAAGATGTAATTGTCTGTCTGTCTGTCTGTCTTCCTTCCTCTTTCTCTCAGCTTATATATCTACACATATCTACTACCTGACATATGATGATAATATCTAGAAATAGCATCCTTACATCACAGGACACAATTCAAACATGTTGTAGCCAAGATGTAATCCTAAACCGACTCAATACCAGTCCACCACGTCTGTTACACGGACGCCAAGTATTTTCTAGCTGAAAATTACCCAAAAACGCCAAGGTTTTCCTGAGGCGATCACAAATTATGTCATGTACCAGCTTGGCATATTATTCTGACAATAATATTACGATCATGTTAGAAGAATGGAATTTACATGAATCACGAAACATTAATTCAGGAATACGAATTCTATCGGGCTCTGATCCTGGCCTGACAACTCTTACATAAGTCTCATCAAGTCTACAAGTACGACCTAGTACATCCTCATTCCAATGACCAGACCTCTCGTCGAAAATTCTCTGGCCTTAGCTGGCCACCAAGTACACGCCGTCGCCAATATTTATATCCACAGAAGGAAACAAAGCGTGGCGCACAAATCTGGGAGACTGTTCTTTCAGATGGACGTGAGAGGAATTAGGACAAGTTCATAAGATGATGCGAATGATGGATACAGTCTCGACGGGCGTCAAATTTCGAATTTTGGCAAGGAGTTTTTACAAATTGAGCTTAGTGCGGGTCAAGTCTTCGGTTGCAAGAGTGCAGGCGACACTGTAAACACAAGTCAAAGATGGAAGGTGTTGTTGTCCGCCTCCTGGTGGTGTTCTGCGGTATAGTCTGAGTAGCCTGGGTAGCCTAGGTACCTACTCTACTTGAGAAGGAGACGCCTCAGACCACATTTCGCGCAGAGAAAAATCAGTAGATGATGGAGGCATGTCTGGATTACTCTGGGTTTTTGAGACGTTTCCCTGGGTGGGTATTCACGGATGAGGGTTGACTTGGGGCGAAGAAAGAGCTGCCATAACTTCGCAGTGGTACTCGCAAATGAAATCCGAGACATGATTGCTCTTCTTGTAAATTGAGTCATCTTTTCTGTACTTTTCTTTGATATTGTGTCATTGCTAGATAGCTGCATACGCAATTAAAATTCGATGCAAAAAAAACTTTGGTAACGATTCACGCGGTTGGAATTAGTTGGGTTATAGGAAAAACCAGAGGGATCGCTACCGGCTCTATCGGTCCTACACCCATAGTGGACATAGGGCATTAGCTTAGGACCTAAACCAAAATAATAAAACTACCATTCCTGATTCATGTAGAGTCTGGAAATATTCAATGTGTTGTGATGACCTAATGTCTGACCATGCCCATCCCAGTTAAGCTTAACACTATCGCCCTTAACATCATAAGATTAGTAGTGAGTATCCAGATTAGTGATAATTATCGATGAGATATTGCTCTGATCATATTTGACTGTTTATAATTTTTCCAAGTCTTCCCCGTAGTTTATTCAATGAATTCTATATCATAACGACCGATTTCGGCTGTAAGATCCGGGATCCATCTATTCCACCATAATTGGATGTCGACAATAATGCCGCCCGCATTTTCTGACCGTGATCTTCTGATCTGATTTTCATGCATCGAACCGACATCATCATCATGTATAGCTAGAGATTTGTATTTATTTGAAGAGAGTTTCGATCTGAATTTCGTCAAATGACGACTATTCTCCGGATTGAGAAATAGATCACAGAATCGCTTTATATCTGAATCATTGTTGTAAATAAAATCGAAGATTTCTTTGCCGGAGTCCATCTCCATGCCATTGCGAGTATGCTGAACCCAGACCTTTCGAGATTTCTCTCGTTTAAATATGCATAGGTGGCCTTGGCTCCAGGCAAGCGCGTATTTTGTAGACCCTTTACTCACAACTTTGATGAATTTTCCATTTAAAACTACATTGGCTATGTGAATGTATTCATCGAAGCCGATCTCAGGAACTTTTTTACTGTAGTCTACTGTCTCTAGCTCGAACCCATCAGTTGCGGCTATTCTACGCTGATATACTAGGCTGACTAGTAGACGTTCATTACATTCTTTCGTATTGAGGAGTCCTGATGCCAGTATAATATCAGACCCATATTGGCGATTATTAACATCAGAAATATGCTGGAGGCAATCATCCTCCGATTTTGCGTCGTTACTGAATCCTATATGGTAGCTGTCCGTTAAGTCTGTCGATTTGGCAATGACAAAACTCCATAAATCAGGGAATGACTTTGTATATGAGCAATATGCCTTGATGTACGTGCCAGCCCAATCCATGTGGCCATGAGTAGTATATATATCAGAATTTTTGGAAATAACGGGTAATTGATAATCATGATCAACTCCATAGACGGCATAAGAAACCAGTTTATTCCTGCTTGCGATAACTAATCGATCTTTTTGCTGCGATTTAAGGCCCGTATATAATAAGATTGCCAGGATACAGACCATAATCGAAACTCAAGCCTTTGTTTTCTTCAGTGTGGATTTCTATGCCGTTCATATACTGGTGATCTATACAAAAATAAAGAAATCCAGAGACACACTACACTTTGCAGTCGGCTTCTTGTGTAGGAGTTGAAGTATACAATCGGGATGTCTTGTTAGTCCTCAGGCGCCGCAGGAATGTAATTTTGCAAGAAAAATCACAGCTAAAGTTTACCAACAAATAGGGCGAGTTATCTTGCAGTGACTGATAAACTTTTTCAACTAATTCTTCTTGAGTCATGCAGTAGGAGCTTCACGTATTACCGTACAAACAGGGGACAAAGGTAACCATCCATCTTTAGTGAGAACTAGGCATGATTAATATGAGAGCTTGAAAATTGAATCCTTGTGACTTTGGGTAATTTTACGGATTCAAGGATTCTGGATGGTCAAATTAATACTGCCAGTTTAGGCATGTTACTCATTGGAAGGACAAAGAGAGTTGAGATACCTCAAGGATGGCTTTTATTAGTCTAAGAAAAGAGGTCGGCGTAGAGAGGAGGGACCAAGTTAGATAAGATGTTGTTTTTTATTCGGTATCAATTCATTGGAGTAATAGATATAGCTAGAAGGAAGGATAAAGATGGTGTATTTGAAAATTCAATGGTTAAATCAATTGCAGATAATGGAAGCTGATGCTTATGAGCAAGTGATCGCTATCTGCCTCTAGGCCATGATTGATTGCCGACAATTTATGAAGGTAAAGTTTACCGATGGGATGGCTCAAAGAGTCGGGTAAATATTCTTTGAGTCAAACTACACGTATGGCTTGCCCTTCCAGTCCTGTCGGAGGTCACACGAGTGTCGGCTATTTTGCCAAACGAGGTGGATTTTAAATGTTGGGCTCCTACGAGATCTTTTTTTTTTTTTTTTTTTTTTTTTTTTGCATCAGATTTTAATTGCGTATGCAGCTATCTAGCTATGACACAATATCAAAGAAAAGTACAGAAAAGATGACTCAATTTACAAAAGGAGCACTCATGCCTCGGATTTCATTTGCAAGTACCACTGCGAAGTTATGGTGGCTTTTTCTTCACCCCAAGTCAACCCTCATCCGTGAATACCCACCCAGGGGAACGTCTCAAAAACCCTGAGTTATCCAGAAATGCCTCCGTCATCCATCAACTTTTCTCCGCGCGAAATGCAATCTGAGATGTCTCCTTCCCAAGTGGAGTCCTACGAGATCGTTGACGTTGCTTGTGCCTTGCCGGTTTGTTTTGTTGATTAACTTCCAGTGGGAAGCCAAGCCGAGACTTGGGCCCCTGCTGCCTACTTAGTGCTAGTCATAGACGCCGGTGCTAACTGTAGTGGAAGCCGCGCCCTCGATAAATTCGTGAGGCAACGCCTGATGTCGCATCCGTGCTATATACAAATTAAATTACATGATACAATATTTCTCTCAGGGTCCTTAGTCTTAGAGTCTGCTCTATTCCTACAAACAGGCTGCCACATGTAGTGTGATAGCACCGAGTATTATTACTTGGAGTTATTTAACTTGAATTTCTGTGGCAGATTATTGAGTAGAATTCCTTCTGATCGAACCATTTGACAATACTCACTGCCCTCTCCCAGGAGCCTAAAAAGAATTTTGTCGGAATACTCAGAGAATCCGGAACCGGAGGAAGACTGCGATTAGGCATAGTACATTCCTGAGCCATTCCCTTGCTTGGCCGCACTCATTACCACCCAGGGGATGCGATTGGGAATATCACGTGCAGGTCAACTCTCAACCAACTGCCAAGCAGAGATAATTCACCATCTACCATCGGCCACAACGCATCAAAAGCGGCTCTGAATTCATCACTTCCTAAATAGCCTCAATCCCGACTAACTACTGTGAGTGCCAAATCATGAGCGGAAGCAAAGTAGATGTTGGTAAAACACTAAGTAATACAAATTGGTTGCCGTCACGAAGTCGGTGAATAAAGTCAATTAACTGGTATCTCGAAATACATAAAACGTCGTCTCCCTCTTCTCCTCTACTCCAAGCGCCGCAATATCAAAGAAGTTGGCCCACGAGGCAAAAATTCGAATTACTCCACCATGTCAATCTTTCACTCCCAAAGAGTCCGATTATCAACTAAGCTTCATCAAGTCTACAAGTACGACCTAGTACATCCTCGTTTCAATGACCACACCTTTCGTCGACTTTCTCTGGCCTCAGCCGGTCACCAAATACACGCCCACGCCGATATTTATACCCGACGGAGGAAGCAAAGCGTGGAGCACAAATCTGAGAGATAGCTCTTTGGGATGGACGTGAGAGGGATCAGGACAAGTTTACAAGATGATGCAGAAGTGGGATACGTTTTCGACGGGCGTGAAATTTCGAATTTTGGCATGGAGTTTTACGAATTGAGCTTTGTGCGCGCCAAGACTTCGCTTGCGAGAGTGCAGCTCACACTTTAAAAACAAGCAGACGATGGAAGGTGTAGGGATCCGCCTCCTGGTGGTGTTCTCTGGTATGGTTTGAGTAGCCTGGGCACCTACTCCACTTGGGAAGGAGACAACTCAGATCACATATCTCGCGGAGAAAAGTTGAAAGATGATGGAAGCATGTCTGGATAACTCAGGGATTTTGAGACGTTCCCCTGGGTGGGTAATCACGGATGAGGGTTGACTTGGGATGAAGAAAAAGCCACCATAACTTCGCAGTGGTACTTGCAAATGAAATACGAGGCATGGGTGCTCTTCCTTTACGTTGAATCATCTATTCTGTACTTCTCTTTGATGTTGTGTCATAGCTAGATAGCTGCATACGCAATTAAAATCTGATGCAAAAAAAATAATAATACTCCAAGCGCCTCGCTAACGAGCTATGTCAGATCCCTGTCAGCGTCCTAATGACAACCTAAACAGCGTAATTAGATAGAACAATTCATACTGCCAAAATGTGATCCTTTTACCGACAGTGAGATAACGACATTAGAGACTATTGGTCGCCACACGTGCCCAAATTATACAGAGCTTTAGGAAACGACAGATCTAGATGCTGACCTCATGAACAAATTTTCCCTGCTTTTTTGTCGCTTTCAGTTATGCTGGACTTTCATGCCACGGGGACTTTGCTTGTCATGAGCACTTTCAACGTATGGACGTACTATTTACCTGCACATGCGGTGCTGTCGGAAATACTGCTTGGTCATCAGGCCGGTTAGGTTAAAAGTTTCCACTCTCTCGGCGATTAACTTGCACACATTAATCTGTATTACTTCAACACATCATATATTCTCTATACACCGTATATTATCACCCCTGTAACTCACTTCCTCAAGATCCTAACTGGCGCTCCTTAATCCCCAGATCGCATGATACACTACACAAAAAATCCATTAAATTTCCTAGAGTTCCCGAAAAAAGCCGGAGACCTGGCAAAATATCACTTGAGTAGAATTTGTCCCCGTCACCTGACACGTAAAGGCGGTCCACCTTATAAATAGCCCATTATACAAAAATTACGTAATTTTGGTCTAAACTGTAGAGAGAGGTTTGTTTATTGACTAAATTGTAGGGATGATGCGTGAAGATTTTATTTATTCAATCTAGCTAGTTCTATGTACAATATTAGGAAGGCAGAGTGTGTATTTCCCGAGGTTTACACAAGTCTGTAGCGCCCAGCTGGCCGACCTCTCCGAACGCTTCAGAAGGGTCACTATGTCTTCGGACTTAGTCCTAACGTCGGTTTTAGAAGAGTTCTGCCCCCAGTGGTTTTTGCAAACTTCCCGGCTGCCATACACCCACAAATAGTCATCGTATCGTTGGCTGTAAAGGGTAGATAATGAAGGGCAAAGGGCTTCTCTAAGTGTATGATGGAATGGGGACTTATGAGGGGAGCTGTGTGGGAGGTATATGAGAGGATTTACTACTGGCATAGGTATCCTTGGCCTGTAGACAGAGAGGACCTGCATGTCCTACATAGTCATAGCCTGAGAAAGGTCACTAAAATGAATCAATAATAATATAAGCTGGGAAAATAAAGGTAAATACATGTGTGGCGGGTAATGGGTCTAAATATTAAATTAAATAACTGTTGGTCAAAAATAATTATTCTTGTACCTGAATATAATGAAGTTGGGGTTGTGACTATTGTTTACTTAGGAGCATAATGAGTAAGGCGTTTGGAGATCTTATATATACCCTGTATTAGTAGTTCCATATTAGCGTGTAGCGAGGGCTAGGTCGTAGCATTAGGAGAGAGTGCAGAGAAGCACTCGCGATACACGCTCTATATTTTATTTTAACCCAATACTTTATCAAGTCTATTTCCAGTAGTCCTATATCAGTCGTCTAAGAGAATCATATTCTAAGACTAAACATTCTATAACCTGCATTTGAGACACAAATATCCACTGGAATGCTGGTGTAAGATAAAAACCATCGCGCATGAAACTTTCAGCGAATAATCTATTAATGACAATAATATAGGATGACTGCAGGTAACGAAGGACTACCGAAATGCAAAATTCAATAAGGAGAGGGGGGTTTTATCGTAATGGTTTCCCCCCTCTGGTAAAATTTATAGATAGTTCATAGCCGCCGGCAGTGGCCCTCTGGGCACCAAATCGGGTTAAATGCTATCGAATTCAAATAATATAGGATGGAGAATTTGTTCGACTAATTAACCATACCTGTAAATACTGAGATTCTGGCCTCTCCGGGTGTAAGGTATTTCGAAATCCTGTACAGTAATTCACCCTAGCTGTAAGTAGCCGAGTAACCTAGCTCCAAAATACTAGAACCACGTTTCAAAGGTTCTGCTTGTTTCGATGCATGGAATAGATGTTGAAACTAGTTTCTTTTTTAACGTTTAACCTCGAAAGTCGATAGCTCACCGGTAGAGATGGTATCGGATATCTGGGCTTTCGAATATATAAACGCTAGAACGCGTCTCTGTTTCAAAGCCCTCGTAGCTCAATGGTAGAGCGCGTCACTAGTATCGCTATACATGACGAGGTTGACGGTTCGATTCCGTTCGGGGGCAGTAAGCAAGTAAAATTATCCTTTTCGAAGTTCCAGTTTTACTTTCTAAGAGATAAAAATACTTTTCTCCAAAATGCAGCCTCAGCATGAAAAATAAGCGGTCGACGCTGGCAGAGTAGTCGTCATCTAGCCAAAAGTTATGTGAGCGCCATCAGTATTTCTTAGACCGAGTCAAGTGTATTATTATTCTGGGTACCCTCCAGTTAGGTCCATGGCCATGCCAGGATATTCAAAAGCTCCTGAGTAAGATATACGGGACACGGTTTAATCTGCAGGATGTTGAGTTGAGAGCCCTCTATCTACAAATGTGACCTGACTTGCTCTGGGTAGATGCAGTTGTGGAAATGCTACCCTAAGTCACAATCCATCCGGGGAACTATTCTCAACACCTGTCAGTGGTGTCCCTTATGAACCTCCAGCTCTCACTGTAGAGTCTGCAGAGCCGAGATTGAGTAACAAAGTCCTCACTTGGGCGAAGATCCCCAATCGCTTTCACCATCTATTTCTTTGGTTCTTTTTATTGTCCTCTCTGAGTCTATGACTATGTAGGACATACAGGTCCTCTCTGTCTACAGGCCAAGGATACCTATGCCAGTAGTAAATCCTCTCATATACCTCCCACACAGCTCCCCTCATAAGTCCCCATTCCATCATACACTTAGAGAAGCCCTTTGCCCTTCATTATCTACCCTTTACAGCCAACGATACGATGACTATTTGTGGGTTTTTTGTTTTGTTCATTTACGTGCTAGGTATAGTGATTCCCGTTGCACTCCTACTGGAGCTTAAGCACGAGTGGGGTTGGGCCGGATCAGGTTAGCTACCGTGAAGTACAGATAAACCTCGTCTCACTTTAATATCCGGACCACCTCAGACTTCACTTTTGTGTTGAATCATACCAAGCCTAACCGTCCAGAAACCAGCTGTATATACGTCGTAGCGCAATTTCCTCCTCAGCCTCAGCCACCACGCGCCTGAGCCCTTGACATCCTCATTGACTCCAAAATATAAATGCCGTCCAATATTTCATCGCTGCTCTAGCCTTGCACCTTCACATCGTACCGTCGGGTTGCTTTCGTCATTAGGGATTTGTTTAATTCCCTCGGTATATCTTCCCTTTTATTCCTCCTTTTCACACGTCCTGTTTCCATCATGACTTTCCTCATTAGGACGTGTGTAGTTAGGTGACGTGACGGGTATAGAGGTGGATCGCAGGTGTGAGATCGGCTGAGAAATGGATCGTCGCAAATGTATAAGGAGTTTGAGAGATGTCGGATATTTGAATACGACTCCCAGACAGACCTAGGCCCATTCGTGAATCGTATTTTGGTGGTGATGAGTTTTTGTTCGACTTTGTTCCGGCTGTGAAATCTCTGCCGACTGATTTTTCGACCAAAATATCGAGTGCAACTCCTTCAAGTCGAAAATCCATCAATTAAAAATCATCCCACCCTTTTTCGTGACTGAATCTCGGCTCTGGGAGAATATTTCACTCCCAGGTTCGTAGAGGGCACCACTGACAGGTGCTCAGCCTTCGTCCTCCGACTATTTGTGGGTGTATGGCAGCCGGAAATTTTTGCAAAAACTACTGGGTGCAGAGCTCTTCTAATGCCGACATTAGGACTAGATCCGAAGACAAAGTGATCCTTCTGGAGCGTTCGAAGAGGCTGACCAGCTAGGCGCTGCAGACTTGTGTATACCTCGGGAAATTCCCACCCTGCCTTTCTAGCCTACTTCCAACCCCTTCCCCAACGTAGTGCTGAAAAGTCTGAAAAGTCTGAAAAGTCTTGATAGAGTGTGATTACTGATCAGTAGCCTAGCCCAACTTCCTTTGTATCGTTCAGGGCTCTGGGGAGTGCCGTTGACTCATCGACACTTGAAGTCCTGGCTAATTTGCCGAAATCTCGGTCTTGGCGCCCACAAACGATCCAAAGTTGAAAACCTCTCGAAAATATGTTCTCCAGCATCCTCACCAGAAGTCTCGTCACTTTCTCATTCCACAGCCCAGTCGCCTGTCTATCCTCGAGTTGCGTGACTCCATTAGAACTATAGTCCCCCATAAACCAAGACCCCAGCTTTGTCTATTATGACTTGATTTCCTCCTTGCGGGTATACGTAGCGTCGTGAATGAGGCAAGCTCTTGTTTGCAACTGGACTAACGCCTTTATCGGTCGTTGAGGCGAGGTGGTGTGCGTGTGGAGAGGCTGAGGACTTTGAAGATAATGGTGAGAGCTGCATGATTGTGAAGTCGTCAAATGGAGAGATGGATGTGTTTGCTTTCGACTTCGATTCGCATGCGATTCTTCCTGGCTATCCCAGATATGTAGGGCATACTGAGCATTTACACCGGCACCACTGGAAGGCGAAGAATTCGTCTTTGCCGGCATGCTTTGATGGTTAGCCATAGAGAAAATTACAAGCAACCTTCGTCTATCTAATTGCTCCAGTATCAACACTCGAACCGTGACACAGTAACAAAGTTTTTAGCCTACGAGGCAATGATTCAAATTACTCCACCACGTCAAATTTTCACTCTCAACGAATTTAACCCTTACCTAAGTCTCATCGAGTCTACAAGTACGATCAAGTACATCTTCATTCAAATGACCACACCTCTTGTCGACTTTCTCTGCCCTCAGCTGACCATCAAATACACGCCCACGTCGATATTTATACCCGACGGAGGAAGCAAAGCGTGGCGCCAAAATTTGGGAAACAGTTCTCTTGGATGGACGTGAGAGGGATCAGGCAGGTTTACAAGATGATACGGAGGATGGATACAATCTCGACAAGCGTGTGGTATTGAACTTTGGCAAGGAGTTTCACGAATTGATCTTTGTGGGCGCCAACACGTCGATTACGATAGTGCAGCTAACACTTTAAATCAAGCTAACGATGGAAGTTGTTGTGGTCATTCTCCTAGTGGTTGTCTCTGGTATGGCTTGAGTAGCCTAGAAACCTACTCCACTTGGGAAGGAGAAGCCTCACGCCATATTTCGCACGGAGACAACAAAATAGATGGAGGCATGTCTGGATAACTCAGGGTTTTGAGACGTTTCCCTAGGTGGGTATTCACGGATGAGGGTTGACTTGGGGCGAAGAAAAAGCTGCCACAACTTCGCAGTGGTACTTGCAAATGAAATCCGAGACATGAGTGCTCTTCTTATATATTGAGTCATCTATTATGTACTTTTCTTTGATATTGTGTCATTATTAGATAGCTGCGTACGCAAATAAAATCTAATGCAGAAAAAAAAGCTTAACTCTGTACTCTGGAATTTCAAGACGAGCATGAAACTAAACGATTAGTTTTGAATTTCATCGTTGCTTCCATGACGCCAGATATCCTAGGATTTTCCTATTCAGCTCCACTTTTCCAAACTACATCCCTAGCCAACTAATAGGAGAGTCCTCACGTCCATATGGGCAGGTTTGGATAGTGTCTCCGTGCTGAAATCGCCACGAAGCCTATTGTTTTGCGATGCTCTCACAGGAACTAGTCTTTTTCTTCACATGATGCCTATAATTTGGTCTGAACCATGCTATTTCAATAGTTATTATATTATGATCAATATATATGAAAGTAGAGAACATGTATTTTTAGCAGATCCCTTGCAAATTCCAAAGTTACCAATTTACGCCCGCTCCTTACTTCCCGGCGCCTTTTATCTGGCCAATTCCGACTCGCGCAAAAAGAGTCTGCCATGTATTGAATAATTGCCGAGCGAAAGAGCGTTGGCGTCATTAAAAATGCCGAAATTACGAATAAACGTGCGTCTCTCAGAAAGATAATTTATGCTAGCGGAATAGATCTGCGTATTTTCCCAGGGCTGGCCCCTTACTTCCGCTAAACTCTTGATTTAAACCTTCTAGAGCATGAAAATGTTCAGCGTACATGAGCCCTCGCTTGTTTCGCTCTTCAACACGCCTCCATTCGCAATCAGGGCCGTCGACATCCACGAATTCCATTGCATCGCTTGAGGTTATCGCTGACGGCGGACTAGTCATGGTGTGCCATCCTCCTGGTCGCGGCGGAAGAAGATTCGAAGCTGCTAGAATTACCTCGGGATGAACAGTTAACCTTCCAATTTTGACAACATATTTGCTGATCGCACTTGCAAAGATTGCTCTTTCGTCAACATCTTCGTCATCTTTTCCCTCACCCTTCCGCGTCTGATAGCCTTTTCTTAACCAACTACCGTCCGTATGTATATACGAGCTAGGTTTCACGGTTCCACGCTTTACAAAGTGTGTGACAAAGTAGAGCCACTTGCGATCCCAGCACAGTAGACGGCTCCACATCTCATATGGCTCGTAGATTCCTATCTCTCGCTTGAAATTGCAAGCTGTGGCCCCGAGGATAACGCTCCATCTGCCTTGCACAGGCTCGCCTTGGGGTGTGAGAACAAGCCTTTCTGTATTGTTGTTTTTTGTCTTACGAATGCCGGGCTCAAGCAAAGCGCAGATGATGTGCGATCGAGTCACATCTAAGTCGGAAAAGTATGAGCTGTTTGACTTATGGAGGTTATAATCACATTCCAATAGCGGAGATCGCGATGCGGTGATGACAGGGAGAAATAGAGTAGAGGTCGCGAGGGCTGGAGGAACCTTAGGTTTATTAATGTAACAGTGCCGAAGAATAGCGCTCCACACGCGCAACTGAAAGTATGTTAGTTCGGCTTCCATTACAAAAAGGACCGGTAGCCATCACGCACATGCCATATAAATGGTAAATTCTTGAGGTTCGCGAAAATTAGAATGGCGGCCACCGCACGCGAATATCTTCCCTGACCAGAGAGAAGGCTTGCCAGAAGTTGAGGAATCTTAATATGAGATGCACCGACTGCTACTACTACTGACGAGATAACTGGTAGTGGTAAAAAGGGGAGACGACTTGTAAATGCCATTCTTAGAGAGTCAACGTGCTGAAAGAAGGAATGAACCAGACAAGATCGAATAGAGAGTAACCTAGAGATGGCGAGCACATGAATTCTGACATACGGATCAGCTGCATTTATCTACGTGAATCTAGATTGTTGTTCAGATTACTGGAGCCTCTCCTTTCAACGTATGCTTTGGTAAAGGTTCGTAGCGCCATTTAGAAAATGTAGAACGAAATAAGATACTAGCATCGGCGTCTCTGGGACGATCCCTTCTTCATGGATGAGGGGGGATCATTGACATGAATGATAATAGTCCTGGCGAAGGCCGTTGTCGAGTCGTATAATGGGCCGAGAGGGGGTCCATCTTTAATCCACAGGAATGTGATAGGTGGCAGTTGCAGGGCAGGATAAATTAGAAATCTAGACGTTAAGCGGCTCTAGTGCAAGGTGGGGTCAACTGAGACCCGTTTGTCCCAGCTTTTGCCTGGCGTTTAATTGCGCCCCACTCCTGTCAGATCAACGGCACGCAAAAACCCTCGTCCGAGGGCCGAATTTTCCATCGATTCGGAGGACGCCTCTGAACCCCGGCATTCCCATTAGAAATTGGAACGATAGAGGGAGAGATGAATAAAATCTGAGGAAACGTCTCGCTGAATCAAACTTATATCTACATTGGGTGCGTACCCATCCCTGCTTGACTCATCGGGAAGTAATGTCCTCTCTTCGATGCTGTTCCACCTACGTGACGCTATTATACTCGACAGTATCCTAGGATTATTTGTGCTATTCTAAGTCGCCAGCATACAGGCTCTCTTGGAGAAATATGCATGGAACGATCAGCGAGTTAATACAGCCGTCATGGAGTGGGGAGCGTTTAAGGTCTGATAATCCAAGATGACACCTTGGGCTCGCAAAGCATTCCCCGGAAAGACATTTATCCGGTACAGTGGAATTTACCCTTGCTTCCAGCTAAATGATCTGCAATCACACCAATCAATGCCGCCTGGTACATTGTGCCCGTTGTGACCAGACCCAAGAATAGACAAGAGAGAGATGACAAAATACGACATGATTTGGGTAAGCCTTTGCCTGCGATTCTAATTTTTTGACACGAGGTGCTACAGTGGTTGATGTATGTTTATTAGGCGGTTCCTCGGAACTGCCATTAAGAACAACTTAGCAACATCACTGGAAACCGTCGAGACTGAATCATCGGTGAGTCATTGGTGGTTAGCACCACGAACAGCAAGCACATGGTCCAAATTTTGAGTCATGTGGAATTGATCCATTATGTAATATAAGGCTCTACTTCAGTTTGACACAATTCTGGAAGTCTGTCAATGGGAGACGAAGCATTTAGCTTATCTAGCTCAGTGCTGAGACCGCTATGTTGATGCTCCCTTACATTTATGCTGTGACCTAAGGCCAGCAAATAATTCGCATCGTCGTTCATGATCAGTCTCACACAAAGCAAAATGTGAGGCTATATTAGACTCAATATAACAGAGTCTTTGATGAGAGATTACGAAGCCATCCATGCTACCGACTGATTTATATTTATTTATTTTTTATACCCTAATTTTGAGTATTCACAGCAATCTTAACGTATGGGAGCGCTCTAATGAATGTAAACTTACTTCACTAATGACTAGAATAGATTGTGACCTTGACCTCGCAATTTGTCGTGTAAACAACTAATAAAATGATGACTCCAAGAAGGTTATTTTTTGGGAAACACCCGAAATTGCTACTTAATGTACACCAGCGACATCGTTTCTTCCGAGCATGTTAAAGATATGACTCGAGCGAATCTAAATCCACAACTATCGAGGTTACCAACTACGCCTTATATGCTTTCACGTGTTTCTACACACGCTACCAGATGCAGCAGACGTTCGAGCCCAATGAATTGGCATAAGCCAATAATGATTGGCATCAAAAATATTATTTGAATTTGCCGCATTCCGGATGCTCTGAACAATGTCCGAACAACCTTGTGCCCCACACTGACTCGATCAAACTTCGTTCTATCCACTAAACCTGTAACAGGCGAAATAGAACACGGGTAGGCTCGAAGGGATTCACTAATGCAACCAAGTGCACTTTGAATTAAACCACTTGGTAATCAGGTAGAAGCATCTCACGGTAAACATTTCTTACAGCCTACGGTGAGATGAAGATACCATTTATTCGTTCCCAGGGTCAGTTAAATTGCGAGAGTAAGCAGCCACCTACGATTACAGAAGAATAATCGCAGCTGCTAGCCCAGTCGTCGATACGAACACTAATGAACCGCATAGATTTTCAATAAACGTGCCCAAGCGAGATGATTGTCAAATTCCACATCCATGACCACTGTTTTCCTACTGCGCACAGACAGGCCGCCTATCAACGGCGGCGCACTTAGGCAAGGAATCTGACTAGCCCGGCTGCCGATCACTCACCGACACCTACAATTAGGCCCGTATTTCTGCTCACGAGTCGACTAGAAGCGTCTGATGGTGAGGTGATGGGCCATGAGTTGGTACTAGGCTGAACTCATCTGAAATAATCCCCAAATATAGTGCTTGGCACGTGTTGCATGAGGTGAGGGAGAGAGGTTTGTTAGCTCATAGATTTCTCCGTACGCTGCTTATGGAGGCAAGTACCGACAAGTTTTAGAACAGGCACTGATATAACCATTGATGGATATTTGCTGTTCGCAGGGTGAGTCTGAGAGTAGCAAGGAATTGTTTTTGCTCTTATTTTCCGTTCAAGGCGATTGCTATCTGCCGTGTCACAGGCAAGAATCTAGACTACGTCGGACTAAGTCCTCTTTTTGGACATGTAATTGATCTCTCTTAGTCAATGACTACTTAGGGCCCGTCGGACTTGTCCCGCAACAAGTCAAGGATATCTATGCCTCGATAGCTCCCATCACATGTCTGTATTTTATCTTACAGAGGAGTCTACTTCATCCAGTATGTCTACTCTCCCAATACAAAACGATGATCACTGGAGGTGGCAAGTTAGCTGCGAAAACATTTAAAAACTACCGGGCACGAGCTTTCCTAATACAAACATCAGGAATAAGTCCAAAGACTTAACTTCCGTTTTGGAGCGTTCCAGGAGGCTGGCTAATCGGGCGCTGTAGACTTTTGTGTAGCTGAGAGAATCAGTCTTTGCCCTCCTGGCCGCCTTCCAACACAATTCATCAATCGCGCCTTGGGTCAGATCGAAGGTTTTATTGAAATGCCAGGCAAGTCTTGACTGAGTTTACACAAGTTCAAGCAGTATGGCCCAATTTATTTGTGCCGTCAAGGGGTGGTGGGGTATGACGCAAACTCTTCAGCATTAGAAGCCCTTCTGATGGGTGTTAAACTCGCTCTATGCCCTGTAGAGTCAATGACGAGGGCTACATATTTGAGGGGAATTTTGCTCACAGGTGTTGAGTCAGAGTACTCTATAGGACTGTTATTATTAATTCTTTTATTAAGCTTTCTCAGTCTATGACTATACAGGACACGCAGGACCTCTTTACCTACAGGCCAAGGATACCTATACCAGTAGTAAATCCCCTCCTATGCCACCCTTACAGCTCCCCTAAAACAGTACCGTCCCTCACAAGTCCCCATTCCATCATACACTTAGATGAGCCCTTTGCCCTTCTTTATCTCCACTCCACAGCCAACGATACGATGACTAGTTGTGGGTGTATGGTAGCCGGGAAGTTTGCAAAAACCATTGGGTGCAGAACTCTTCTAAAACCGACGTTAGGACTAAGTCCGAAGACATGGTTGACCTTCAGAAGCGTACGAAGGAGCCGACCAACTGGGCGCTGCAGACTTGTGTATACCTCGGAAAATCTACACTCTGCCTTTTTAGCCTCCTAACTCTTTCCTGAACATCGTATTGAAATACCAGAAAAGTCTTAACGGCGTGTTTGTTGTAAGGTTGCTCAGCCCAACTTTATCGTGCCGTCTCGGGTACTGGGGAGTGCCGTATACTCATATAAAATAGAAGTCCTGGCTTATTTCCTGAAACCTTGGTCTCGGTGCCAATAAACGCTCCGAATTCAAAAGTCCCTCAAAATGATAGTTCTTATGTGCCCATTAATGACCTCTCCGCTTGTTCAATCCACTTCCCATCTGTCTGTCTTCCCTCGAGAGGTAGTGCGTGGTAAGATTGAGTTAAAGGACTCGCGTGAGAATGGCTAGACTAACACTGATGGCAAGTCGTTCATTATAGATTTGTTTGCTTTACTTTCGATTTCGATTCGGTTGTGGTTCTTGGCTATCCCGAATATGCACAGAATACCGTGCGATTACAACGGTACCACTGGAAAGTGAAGAATCCGGCTACGCTGGCCATGTTCGCTAGTACTAAAACCAAGGGTCGTCAGAACATAATTTAATCTCGATCTTTCCCATGAATTTCCGCTACGCACAGCCCTAAAAATCGACTCGAGTGATGTTCCAGCAGCTTCATGTTCATTAGCGGCCACGGGTTAGTGATTAGGAGGGCAAGACTGAACACCTGTACGCGGTGTCCTCTACGAACCTGGGAGTGAAATATTCTCCCAGTGCCAAGTTCAGCCAGATTTCGCAATATCAAAGAAGTTGGCCCACGAGGCAATGATTCAAAATACTCCACCACGTCGTTTTTTTCGCTCCTAACGAGTTTGACTCCTACCTAAGTCTCATCAAGTCTACAAGTACGACCAAGTACATCCTCATCCCAATGACCACACCACTCTTCGACCTTCTCTGGCCTCAGCTGACCACCAAATACACGCCCACGCCGATACTTATACCCAACGAAGGAAGCAAAGCGTGGCGCACAAATCTGGGAGATAGCTCTTTGGGATGGACGTGAGAGGGATCAGGACAAGTTTACAAGATGATGCAAAGGATATGACCTCGAAGGGCGTGAGGTTCCGAAGTTTGGCTTGGAGTTTTACGAATTGAGCTTTGTGCGCGCCAAGACTTCGCTTGCGAGAGTGCAGCTCACACTTTAAAAACAAGCTAACGATGGAAGTTGTTGTG